CCTGGACCGCCAAGATGATCCAAGAGAGCTCGAGTCGCCCCAAGAAGCGCCAAAGTGGCCTCTAAGATGGCCCAGGAGGCCTCCCAGAGGTTCTCCAGGAAGGCCCGACGAGGCCAACAACTTTGATTGGTCCTGGGCGTTTGAAGGGTGTTGCTTCAAAATTGCTTTCCGACGGACCCAGGCGGCCCAAGAGACCCTCAAACTTGCCGCAAGATCGCCCAAGAGGTTTCCAAGATGGTCACTTGACGGCCCAATAGAGGCTCCCCAGGCGGCCCATGGGGCCTCCAAGACGCCCAAGATGGCCCTCACGACGACCCTCAAGCGTCCCAGCCCGAAGACGGCCCAGAGAGGCTCCCAAAACGGCTTCCGACTGCGTCAGGCGGGCCATGAACGCCGTAAGACTGCCAAAGGGGACTCGAAAAAGCTCCCAAAATGCCCCCCAAAGGCCTCCCAGAGGCCCCTGGGAAGACCCCAGGAGGCCACAAGAATGACACCTGGAGCTCCCAAGAGAGCTCATCATCCTTCCCCTCATCCTCCTTTTTGCTCACTCTCCCCATCCTCCTCTTAGTCCTCCCCCACATGTTCCCCGAAGGGCTTCCACAACGGCTGGGGAACGCATGGTCCAATAGCGTGGCCAAACACTGCCCAAACGTTTGGCCACATAAACGTATCCTAAAAGCCAGGGGGCGGCGGTGATTCGCCGTTGGCGCCTTCGATCGACCATTCCTGAAGGAACCCGCAGAACACCCCTATTACTTAGAATCAAAAAGGAACCTTCGGAGTCCCAAGGGGTACTCAGGAATCCTGACGCTGTAATCGGCCCGACGTACGTGTAATCTAACTTGCTATCCACAAGAACCCCCTTGGTAATCCTCAGGAGCCCATGTCTTACCAATGTGTCCAAGGATGCCATAGTAAAGGGATCCTTACGAAAAAACAATACTGAAGGAATCCGGAGAACTTCCCAGGACTCATCAGGGACCCTTCGGAGTCCCAAGGAATGCTCAAGCATCCTAGCGCTGCAATCGGCCCGATGTAATTGCAATCTGCCCTATTACCCACCATGTGTCTTCAGGAGTCCAGGGAGCTCCTTCAGGAACACCTCCTTCATGATTCCTTCAGGAGTCCATCAAGAATCGCTGAGGAATACCTTAAGATTCCCGCAGGAATCCTTCAGAACACCCTCACGACTCCCTCAGGAGTCACCCATGAATCCTTGAGAAACCCTTCAGCAACCCCTCAAGACTCCCTCGGCCATCTTCAGGAATCTCCGAAGCATCTCTGAGGAGGATCCCTCCGGAATCCTTCAGGAATTCCTCAGGAGCGCTTGTATGCAGGCCAACGCGAGCAGAAACACATCGCCAGGAAGAGAGAGAGAGAGAGAGAACAAAAATTATCCTGGCGAAAGACCCAACCATAAGCAATTGTTGGTAACGCGTTGTGGGTGCCGCTTTCGGTGGGGCTCCATATGGGGCCACGAAGCGCTGCCTTGGATAGGGGGAACCGCATGCGGACTGCGCCACCGGGGCGGGCCTTCGGTGGAGCTCCCTATGGGGCTACGAAACGCTGCCCTGGGTGGGGGAACCGCATGCGAACTGCGCCACTGGGGCCTTCGGTGGAGCTCCCTATGGTGCCACGAAACGCTGCCCTGGGTGGGGGAAGCGCATGCGAACTGCGCCACGGGGGCTTTCGGTGGAGCTCCCCATGGGGCCACGAAGCGCTGCCCTGGGTGGGGGAACCGCATGCGAGGGCAGCCACTGGGGCCTCCGGTGGAGCTCCCTATGGGGCCACGAAACGCTGCCCTGGGTGGGGGAACCGCATGCGAACACCCCCACTGGGGCCTTCGGTGGAGCTCCCTATGGGGCCACGAAACGCTGCCCTGGGTGGGGGAACCGCATGCGAACACCCCCACTGGGGCCTTCGGTGGAGCTCCCTATGGGGCCACGAAACGCTGCCCTGGGTGGGGGAACCGCATGCGAACTGCGCCACTGGGGCCTTCGGTGGAGCTCCCTATGGGGCCACGAAACGCTGCCCTGGGTGGGGGAACGCATGCAAACACCCCCACTGGGGCCTTCGGTGGAGCTCCCTATGGGGCCACGAAACGCTGCCCTGGGTGGGGGAACCGCATGTGGACACCCCCACTGGGGCCTTCGGTGGAGCTCCCTATGGGGCCACGAAACGCTGCCCTGGGTGGGGGAACCGCATGTGGACACCCCCACTGGGGCCTTCGGTGGAGCTCCCTATGGGGCTACGAAACGCTGCCCTGGGTGGGGGAACCGCATGCGAACACCCCCACTGGGGCCTTCGGTGGAGCTCCCTATGGGGCCACGAAACGCTGCCCTGGGTGGGGGAACCGCATGCGAACACCCCCACTGGGGCCTTCGGTGGAGCTCCCTATGGGGCCACGAAACGCTGCCCTGGGTGGGGGAACCGCATGCGAACACCCCCACTGGGGCCTTCGGTGGAGCTCCCTATGGGGCTACGAAACGCTGCCCTGGGTGGGGGAACCGCATGCGAACACCCCCACTGGGGCCTTCGGTGGAGCTCCCTATGGGGCCACGAAACGCTGCCCTGGGTGGGGGAACCGCATGCGAACACCCCCACTGGGGCCTTCGGTGGAGCTCCCTATGGGGCCACGAAACGCTGCCCTGGGTGGGGGAACCGCATGCGAACACCCCCACTGGGGCCTTCGGTGGAGCTCCCTATGGGGCCACGAAACGCTGCCCTGGGTGGGGGAACCGCATGCGAACACCCCCACTGGGGCCTTCGGTGGAGCTCCCTATGGGGCCACGAAACGCTGCCCTGGGTGGGGGAACCGCATGTGGACACCCCCACTGGGGCCTTCGGTGGAGCTCCCTATGGGGCCACGAAACGCTGCCCTGGGTGGGGGAACCGCATGCACCCCCACTGGGGCCTTCGGTGGAGCTCCCTATGGGGCCACGAAACGCTGCCCTGGGTGGGGGAACCGCATGCGAACACCCCCACTGGGGCCTTCGGTGGAGCTCCCTATGGGGCCACGAAACGCTGCCCTGGGTGGGGGAACCGCATGCGAACACCCCCACTGGGGCCTTCGGTGGAGCTCCCTATGGGGCCACGAAACGCTGCCCTGGGTGGGGGAACCGCATGCGAACACCCCCACTGGGGCCTTCGGTGGAGCTCCCTATGGGGCCACGAAACGCTGCCCTGGGTGGGGGAACCGCATGCGAACACCCCCACTGGGGCCTTCGGTGGAGCTCCCTATGGGGCCACGAAACGCTGCCCTGGGTGGGGGAACCGCATGCACCCCCACTGGGGCCTTCGGTGGAGCTCCCTATGGGGCCACGAAACGCTGCCCTGGGTGGGGGAACCGCATGCGAACACCCCCACTGGGGCCTTCGGTGGAGCTCCCTATGGAGCCACGAAGCGCTGTAATGGGTGGGTGAAACGCAGAGAGGAGGGAGGAGAGGGAGGAGGAGGGAGGAGGAGGGGGAGGAGGAGGAGAGGAGGAGAGGAGGAGAGGAGACGCGGGCACCGTCTCTTCAAAACGAGGACCCAACACCACAGGATGGTTGGGAAAAAGAAGAGGGAGAGATACAGAAGGTTGCCTTCAAAATTCGCCAAGAGGGTGGTCCACGGCAGACTCTGTGCAGTAGTTCTGCTCAGCGGCCTAATCGGAGGAGGCTTTTCGAAGCCCTTGCCAAGAAAGTTTTCAAATATGATGCGGGACTTGGCGGTTCGCTGCCATACCTTCGGCGGTTCAGATTTGAGCGACGCAAACAAACCGGTCTTTCACTTAGTATTCAACACAGAGGGGTCCACGCACATGCGTAGAGGTCGACACAAAGGGTCCCGCGCTCCACACTCACGTTGGGTTCCACACAGATATACATTGGGTTTCATACACATGAGACTCCATTAACGAGGTTCCACGCAGGCAGGATTCCATACACAAGCGGTTCCGCATGCACAGGGCTCCACGCACCATATAGAGAACCACTCATCTACTTCCGAACGTTGAGTTCCACATGTATCAAGTGCTTCATACACTCTTATGCGAAATAACTGGGCGACGAAAAGAAGAGGGCCTTACGCACGATGCGTACGATGTTGTAACGACCTCGATTTACGCGCACCGCCAGCACGACGCGCTACACTGGAAACGAAGGCGCTTACGTGCGACCGCGCGACCTTACGCGGGAAATTTACGCGTGAATGTCGGCGCAATCGACCCCGTTTTTTTCCGTCGCTCAGATGGGGACCTGAGGGATGGGGCCCCAAGGGTCGGGGGTCCCTCGTCCTCAGGGCCTCATCCCTCGGGACTTGGCGGACCACTACAACACCTTCGGGTCCTAATGCGGAGGGTTGCTAGAGGTGTCTCTGGCCCAAAGTGCCCCCAGCTTTTCGCTCCATTTTGGAGCCCCCTCTGGGCCTCGTGAGGGCCTCCTTGGAAATCCTTAAGGGCACCGTAGGCCAGGAACACTTCTGGCAACACGCGATACGGATACAAAGGTATCCCAGGTCGACTTTACACTGTTGGCGGCCCCTCGTTCTCAGGGCCCCATTCCTCGGGACTTGGCGGACAACTGCCAACACCTTGGGAGTCATCTTCTGGGACGTCTTCGCAAGAACGATCAAAGGCTACTAAGCCCGACCAAGGGGCTACCACAATATCTTAGGCCAGATTGAGCCCGAGATTCGGCGGGAATAGGTGGAATCAAGCGGGACTCTGCCAGCTGAGGCCTGTTTTCGACCACGGACATACCAGCGCCGACGCTTGAGGCTTCCTAGATGGGGTCCGAGCAGGTGTGGTTGGAGGATCACGCCGCATCGCCGATGCATCGGCATCGGCGACGTCGGCAAGGCATCGGCGCCATCGGTATGGAGACAATCGGGCTCCACATGGAGCCGCATCGCCGATGCATCGGCGATGCGGCGAGATCCGCCGGCCCAGTCTACTCGGACCACGTCTGGAGGCCCAGAGATGCTGAGCTGAACCTCCCATGGGCTGCAACCGAGCACGCCTGCTCCGCCGGCCTGCCCTCCAGCCCGAGCAGCCGCCGCAGCCTGGCCTTGCCAGCTCCACGCCAGAGTGACCCCTGGGCAAGAGTGTCCTGTGGTGCGCGGCTCCCGGTGGCCGGGACGGGCCTTTGGACGGGAAGGGGAGACCTTCGGACGGGAAGGGAAGGCCTTCGGGCGGGAAGGGGAGGCCTTCGGACGGGAAGGGACGACGACAGATGCCCACCTCCTCCCGTCGTGATGTCCCCTCACGGCGAGACTTGGGTGGGGGCCGCCCCTGGCCTGAGAGGCGACGCCGCCCTGGCGGCACCGGCAGTGCGCGGCTCTCGGTGGCCGCGGAGGACCCAGATAAGGGCCGCGCAGGCCGGTGCTCCGTTGTTTTCGGAGGGGGGGGGCGCCGATTCCCGAAGTGAGACAAGATGAGAAGCCGGCCCCGCGGAAGTGGTCGACATCCCCGGGAGCCGACGCCACGCGCACACTGCAGCGGCGGAGGGAGAGGGTACCCAGGGCCCGCGCCCAAGGCAGACACACTCCAGCGAAGGCCCACTCTCAATGACACAGACATCCGACGATTTGATGTTTTCAGTGCGCGCGCCAGGAGTCCCGACCCGCTCCCCAAACCCGGAGCCCGTGGAGGGAGGAGGGAGGGAGGCCCCTGGAGGCTGGTATCGAGGAGATGCGCTAGGATTCCAAACAACATCGTCGGATGATAATAACGGAGAAAAGAAATGGCACAAGCAGAACATGTTGGAGATCCGCGCGGATTTCTCGGATCCGCGCCGGACCCGCCGCCCTGGGGCGCGAAGCGTGCCGGAGACGGCGCGGCGAGGCGCCGCCAGGGGGGGTCGGGCGCAGATCCAAGAAATCTGCGCGGAGCTCCACAAGAGTGTGTGTATGCAGTGTGTTCCTTCTTCGAATGTCTGGGTACGTGGAGCTGGCCTCGGTGTCCGCCAGGGTCGGCCGCCTGACCGCAGGCTCCGCGGCACAACTCCTGTGCCACGGCACAGGCGGCGAGTCCACCGCGCGCCGGGCCTCGGCCTGCCCGTCGCAGGAGGAGGAGGAGGCGGCCGCACCTTCTGTGGCAACTCGCGGGAGCCTCCCATGCCTTCTTGCGGGCTCTTGCGGGTCGAAGCCAGCCGACGCCAATCGACGCTGATCGACGCTAATTCGGTGCTTCGTCATCGATTACCCGACACTGGCGCACGCCAGTGCACCCTAACGTCAGAATTTCGCGCACATACAACCCACACATCTGGCGTCTCGGATTTGGTTCGAAACAAAGGCCCTCGACCTTTCGACCACTTCCCGGGGACCGGTTTTTCATCCCGAGCCGTTTTGGACCGCCCCCGTGGCCCGGCGAGTGCCACCATAGGCCGAAATCTACGAAAAACCTTATAGTTTCGTTTTCCAAAACGCCAGAAGTCTTAGCAAGGATGCTGCTACTCCCTGGACCTCCTGGGGTGCGTTCTGACAAGAATTTCGTAGATAATCGCTGCGTGGCGACGAGGACCCTCCGGGACGAGTTGCGGCGTCGGTACATCTTGCTCCTCTGACTTACGACGGTTTCGAGGACATGCTGGCTCTCGTGAGTTGCTGCCAAACGCACCCGAGCCACTGGCCCCGGAGGTCTGGAACGCGTCCGCGTAGCCCGGGTGCTGCAGGTACCACAGCGTGCGCCGCGCGGCGTCGCGGCGCGCCGCCTTGGGGGATCAAGGCGCAGCAGTTCTCCGAGAGAGCGCGACCGTGGTACACTCCGAAAGAGGGGGGGGGGTCCCCCCTTAGCTAACCCCCCTGGGCCTCCCTTGCTGGAAGCCCCCCCCCTCCTTTGTTCCCGCCCCTCGGAAGCTACCTCCCCCCCTCCTTTTGCGTTCCAGAAGCTACCCCCCCTCCCTTTCCACAGGGGAGGGGGGCTTAGCTACCCCCATTTTTTCCACCCCTCGGACGCTCCCCCCCTTTCGCGCTCCGGAAGCTCCCCCCACCTCCCCCCCTTTCCAAAGGGGCGGGGGCCTTAGCTACACCCCTCTTTGAACCTCCTCGGCCAGAAGCCCCCCCCGCGCCTTGCCCCCTTAGCTCAAGAAAGGGGCGCCGAAAACCAAAAGGGCACCGCGTAAAACCAAGAGAGCTCCGAAAACTGAAGGAACTCCGAAAACCGAAAACCCAAGAAAAGCCGAAAACCGACAGGGCGCCGAAAACCGAAAGGGCGCCGAAAACCAAAAGGGCGCCAAAAACCAAAAGGCACCGAAAACCAAAGAAACGCCGCACGCACACCGAAGGGGCGCCAAAAACCAAAGGAGCGCCGAAAACCAAAGAAGCGCCGAAAACCAAATGGGCACCGAAAACCAGAAGGCGCCGAACACCAAAAGAACACCCAAAACCAAAGAGGCGCCGAAAGAAAAGGAAAACCAAAAGGCGCCGAAAATCAAAGGTGCGCCGAAAACCAAAAGAGGCGCCGAAAATCAGAGCAGCGCCGAAAACCAAAAGGGCTCCGAAAACCAAAGTGGCAACGAAAACCAACGATACGCCGAAAAGCGGAAAGGGTCGCCGAACTTGAAAATGACGCCGAAAACCAAGGGGGCTCCGAAAACCAATCGGGCGCCGACGACCAAAGGGTCGCACAACACCGAAACGACACCAACAACTTACACGGTGCCGAAAACGAAAGGGCGCCAAAAATCACTAGGGCACCGACAACCACAACAGCGCCGAAAACCAGAGGAGCACCGAAAACGAAAGGGCTTCCGAAAGGGACGCCGAAAACCAAAGGGGCGCTGAAAACCAAGGGGGCACAGAAAACCAAAAGAATGACGAAATCCAGAAAAACGCCGAACACAAAAAGAAACGCCGAAAACCAAAGATGCGCGAGAAACAAGAAGGCACCGAAAACCAAAATAATACCGAAAGTCTAAGGGGCGCATAAAAAAACCAAGAGGGCACCGCAAACCAAATGGGCGCCGAACACCCAAGGGGCGCCGAAAACCAAAAGGAGCGCCGAAAACCAAAGAGGCTCCGAAAACCAACGATGCGCCGAAAACCAAATGGGCGCAGAACACCAAAGAGGCGCCGATAACCAGAAGGGCGCCGAAAACGAAAGGGGCACCGAAAACAACAGAAGCTCCGAAGACGGACAGGGCGCCGAAAACAAAAAGGGCGTCGAAAACCAAAGGGGTGCCGAAAACCAAAGGGGCGCCGAAAACCAAAAGGGCGCCGCAAACCAAAGGGGCGAGGACAACCAAAGGGGCGCCGGAAACCAAAGAGGCGCCGATAACCAAATGGGCGCCGAAGACCAAAAAGGAACCGAAAACTAAAGGCACGCCGAAAGCCGAAGGGGCGCCGAAAACCACGAGGGCACCGCAAACCAAAGATGCGCCGAAAACCAAAAGAGGCGCCGGAAACCAAAGATGTGCCGAATAACCAAAAGAGCGCCGATCAACCAAAGAGGCGCCGAACATCAAAGGGGCGCCGAAGACCAAAAAGGAACCGAAAACCAAAGGGGCACGCCGGAAGCCGCAGGGCGCCGAAAACCAAAGGGGCGCCAAAAATGAAGCGGCGCCGAAAACCAAAAGAACGCCGAAAACTAAAGGGGCGCCGAAAACCAAAAGGATGACGAACACCAAGAGGGCGCCGAAAACCAAGGGGGCGCCGAAAACCAAAAGGCGTCGAACACCAACGATGCGCCGAAAACCAACGGGCTCCGAGAAACCCAAGGGGCACCGAAAACCAAAGGAGCGCTGAAAACCACAGGAGCGCCGAAATTCAAAGGAGCGCCGAACACCAAAAGGGCGTCGAGAATCAAAGGGGCGCCAAAGGCCAAAGGGGAGCCGAAAACCAAAGAGACTCCGAAAGTAAGAAGTATTCCGAAAACCAACGGGGCGTGGAAAACCACAGAAGAAGAGTAGCTTCGAAGCATCCCCACCAGCCAGGGACCTCCAGCTGGAAAAGCACATAGAAGCAGGGGAGGGGGGATAACTTCGGAAGCCCTCCCCCCCTTTGAAACGGGGGGCACGGGATACCCTGGGCTCGGCAGAGGAGGGGAGGAGCGGGGGGGCTTCCACGCTCCCCCCCTCTGTGGCCAGGGACCCCGCAGCTACAAAATCCACACAAAAGGAGGGGGGGTAGCTTCGGAAGCCCCCCCCCTTGAAAGGGGAGCCCGGGCTGACCTTGGGCTCCGGAAGAAAAGGGGAGGGGTAGCTTGAAGCTCCCCCCCTCCCCCTCTAACTAGGGCCCCCCTAGATCCGAAATGCCCGCAGAAGGTAGGGAGCGGAGGGGTAGCTTCGGAAGCCCCACCCCCTTCTCCAAGGGAGGGGGGGTAGCTTCAAGCTGGGGCCCTCCTTTGACTGAGAAGTGTGCCACGAGCGCGCCCTTTCAGTTCTCCTGAGAGCCCCCCTCCCAGGGTCTAGGGGGGGCATCGACCTGGAACCCCAGTACTTAAAAGTATGGAAAAAATCAAACGGAGGTTGTCCGCGCGTTTTCGACCTCTGGAGGCCCTCGCTGGGCTCCAGGACCACGAAAAGAGAACTCCGGATGAAAACCCGGTCGTGGGGAATGGGCCGAGGCTCCTAGGGATCCTGTGCGGAAAAAACCACGACATCGGATCTCTGCAATCCGCGCTGCATCGACGGTAGGTCGGCGACAGTAGCCCCCGATGGCAGATATGCGCGTTTCCTGGGGCGCGGATTGGGGCATCAGGCCCCTGTCGGCGATCAATAAGCGATGTGGGGCCTCGGGAGCCCCCCGTAGCCAGACAGACATCCGAATTTCCGGAACGTGGGACCCCGAGAATGGGCACAGATAGATCCCTGACGCGAGAGTCCGGGGATAGAGGCTGTTGTTTTTGTTGGAGGAATGGGGGCACCACAACCGAAAAGAAAATTGCACAGGCTACAAAGACTTCAATCAATAGACATTCTGGCATTTTCGCAAGTGCTCCACTCCGGTTCGCCGTGGCATGCTTTTTGACCCTCTGCTCTCAAATCGGCTCTGTGCTCTCTCTCTCTCTCCTTCTGTTTCTTTCCTTCTTCCTCCCTGTATATTGATATCACTCTCACTCTCTCTCTCTCTCTCTCGCTCGCTCGTTTATTATGTCTCATGTCTCACTGCTCTCTCCCGCCACTTCGTCTCTCTGTCTTTACTCTTTCTGCATGCCAGTACTCATGTATTTGTCTGTCCCTCTCTGTCTCTCTCTGTCTCGCTCTCTCGTTCTGCTCTGCTATTTGTTACTGTCCAGACTCCTGGGTCGCTCTGCTCTGTATGCTCTGTTACCGGGTCTACGTGAAAATATGGTATCCTTCTTTCTCGCTTGCTCTCCCTCACATATATGTACATCCCTTTCTATGTCCAACTGTTATATGTTCTCTATGCTTTGAACTCTCCATGCCTGCACTACGTACTCCCTCACCCTGCCCGTAGTCACAAGTACACACTTCACACATATAGAGCTGTATTCAGACAAACTGATGTATCGTTCCTTCTCTCCTCTCTGTATCACTCACTCCGTCTTCCTCTCTTCTCCCTCTCTCCTTCTCTACTCTGTCTGTGCCTCTCTATCACTCTCTCTTCCTCTCTCCATCGCTCTCTTCTTTCTCTTCACATCTCGATGCGATGTACCCTCTGCTGTGGAATTCAAACGACTGTACTACATTCTATCACCCTCACCGTGGTCACAAATGCACGCAATATACTTACATTGTACTAGATATAATGCATGCATCGTTCGGTCGTTCCCTCTTTCACATAGTCTCTTTGCGTCTTCATCTCCTCTCCCCCTCTTTCTATATATCTTTCTCTACTCCGTCGATGTCACTCTCTCTCTCTCTCTTTCTTTCTCTCGTTTCTCTCTCTGTTCTCTCTCTCTCTCTCCAATGTTTTTTGTTCTCTCTCTCTCTCTCTCTCTCTTTCTAGTCTGTCAACCGCATATACTCTCTCAACTCTCTCTGCGCTGTCCTCTGTACTCTCCGGTGCCTGCTCTCTACTATATGTTGTTGCTGTTATCTCTCTCTCTCTCGTGCGTTTTTTTCTATGTGTCTCTCTTTGCTTGCCTACGTGCACCTATGGTGTGTATTCTTCCCTCCAGACTCTCATTCTCTCTCTCTCTCTCTCTCTCTCTCTCCCTTTCTCTCCATCTGACGGGGGTCGCAACTATTAAATTATCCGCCGGCCCCCTCTGTGGCCACCAGGCTGCGAAGCTCGGGTTGCAGAAACTGGTACCAGTCATGAGTTTCTGGGTCGCATTCACGGTTGCAGTGCAGCTTCCTACTTCCAGCCTGATATCATAATTCAACCTCCTAATTTGAATTACGCAAGATCCCCGCCCCGACGCCACGACCCCTTGTCATTACGCAGACTCGCACACCCGAGGTCATTGGAAGCTACGCTCCCACGTCAATTACACAAGATTCGCGTGCCCGAAGCTTGCAAATCACACTTGCTTCGCGCCCCCGAAGCCACGATCCCTCACACATTGACCAAGACTCGCGCCCCCGAAATCACGATCCTTTCGAAAATGATTCCAGCTTCGAGCCCCCGAGGCAGCGATTCCTCACGCATCACGCCAGATCCGGACACCCGAAACCATGAGCCTTTTTCTAAATTGTGCGCGAGTCGCGTGCCCGAGGCTATAATCCCCCGTAACCCCTGGTCAATTACGCCGCGCTCGCCTTCCCGAAGCCAAGATCCATTGCAAGTGCCTTCGCCTCGCGCCCCCGAGGCCACGATCCCCGACAAACTACGCAAGGCTCGCGTTTTCAAGGCCACGGTTTTTTGTAAATGAAGGCACGGTGACCAGCCGTCCTCAAATACAGTTCCGACGTTGCTTCAAGCCGACGCCCAGAAATCCTATTCTGGCAGGACCTAGTCTGACCAAAAAGGGGCCGGCGAGAGAAGGCGCAGCACCTACGGATATATATATATATATATGTATGTGTGTATACATATAAATATATACAGACATATGTGTATATATATATATATATATATATGAAGGCGACCCGAACCACCCCCACACCCACCACATCAACTTTTGTGTCTTCGGAGCTTCTCTCTAGAGCCTGTGACCCCACGACCGTCGTTATCTGCGTGTGCCCCAAGAGAGATCCTTGGCAATTTGCGAAAAAAAAAAAATCAACCGCCGAGGGCCTGGAAACAACATCGTTATGAAGCAAAGAACGCGTTTAAGAAACACCCACAACTTTCAAATGAAAAGTTGCCGCGCACGGAATTGCCTGGACATTGTTCAAATTGCGCGCCATCGCGCACGTGCAACGGCGCAATTAAATAGACGCAAAACGCGTTTATAAAACGCACATAAACTATTTAGTAAAAACGAATACGCTGATATACGACGATTTGTCAAACCGGAATCGTCACCGCGGGGCGCACCGACTAAGTCCGCGAGCGTTCCGGAACAAATGTAAAAATAATGCTGGTGGGTGCGGGGGTGGGTTGTTCTCTCTCGAATATATATATATATATATATATATATATATATATATATATGTATATATACACATATACAAATATGTATATATATATATATGCATACTTACACACGCGCCCATAGACGTTTATTATATGATGTGCCTCCCTCTCTCTCTCTCTCGTTCTCTTCTCTCGACGGACGCGCATGCATTTCTCTCTCTCTGTATATATAGAGAGATACGCAAATATACACGCACATAAAAACACGTGTATATATATAAATATATATGTACACATATTTGTCTATATATATATATACACACGCCGTCATGTGTACACTTATGTTGCTCTCTCTCTCTCTCTCTCTCTCTCCCTCTCGCTCTAGATATGTGGATTGTTCTCTCTGTATTACTATGCCACTAAAGCCGTTTTCCCATTCAACTTTAACATATCCATGGAATCGTTCGATGAAGCCTGTTTTTCCCCGAGCGACGCCGCGCGGCGTGCCCGCCGCTTTCCTCACCGCACGAGCGAAACAGCAGCGCGCGGCCAGAGTCGGCGCGACTACTGCGACGTCGCCCTGAAGCGACGCCGCGCGGCGTGCGCGCTGCTTTCCTAGAAACCGCGTGGGGACCGCCGCTAAAGCCGCGAAGATGCCCGTCTAGAAACCGCTACAATTTACACAGAACCCGTCGGGCACCGTAAAAGATTCCAGACATATAAAACATTGTGTCATGGATTAGTCGACCGGCTTCTATGTAAATCATACAGGCTTCCAGACAGGTTTCTAACACGGCTTCTGAAAAAAAAGACTGTTGCGACAGCGACGCCAGGGGGTCGTTCCCGCGGTGGCGGCGGCGGCTGGCAGGGCGCTGCGTTCCGCTCACTGTCGCGCTATAGCGAACGCGCCCCCGTGCCGCGTCGCGCCGAAACACGCGCGCGCGCCGACGCAAAGCGGAAACGTCGAATGTACGCATGACCGCTACCCTACACTATCTAACTCCGGCGCGCGCACGCGAAAAAAACAGCATCTACGCGAGCGACAACGCCTGAAGACGCGCCCAGAAAGTCCGCGCGGGCTGCTCTTTCGCGCTGACCGCATCCATGAACGCACAGACACGAGCGCGAAGCCAGCGCGCGGCTCGCCGCGCCCTTCCACCCCCCCACCCCCGGCCCCTGGGCGCAGGCGCGGACTGTGCCGCCCGGCCCGCGAGCCAGCTTTGCGCAATAAGGGGGGGAGAGGGGGGTCAGACAGTTGTAAATCCACGGTTGACGGCTCTGCTACCGTAGTCTTGGTAGTTTGATTCGCGCGCCCCGGACGATTGTCTTTCCCTGCCTTGCTCAATCTAGAGGGGGGTTACAAAACAATGATATTCAAAACGATATCTTTATAAAAAGAATTTGGAATTTTAGATTGTCGCCTATGTATCAGGCTCCGAAGCGTGGCAGACAACAAAACTAGGATGTCAAAAACTAGAAAAGGCGCAGCGACGCGGCATGAAACAAAACAAGGTTTTTGCTAGCAGGATGAAATACCACGGAATTTTGTGGGTGCGCTCGGCATCGCACTCCTAGTTTTGCAAGGGATTGCCGCCAGTGGTTGTGCCGGCGTTTTTGCTGGTGGTTGTGCTGGTGGTTGCGCTGCTGATTGTTATGCTGGTGGTTGCGCTGATGGTTGTGCTGCTGGTGTTTCCTGATGGTTGTGCTTCTGGTTGTGCTGCTGGTGGTTGTGCTGGTGGCTGCGCTGGTAGTGGTTGTGCCAATGGTAATGCTGGTGCTCACGCTGGTGATTGCTGGTAGTTGTCCTGGTGGTTGTGCTGGTGGTTGTGCGGGTGGTTGGGCTGGTGGTTGTGCGAGTGGTAATGCTGGTGGTTGTGCTGGTTGTTCTGCTGGTGGTTGTGCGGGTGGTTGTGCTGGTGGTTACGCTGGTGGTAATCGTGTTGGTGGTTGTGCTGGTGGTTGTGTTGGTGGTTGTGCTGGTAGTCGTGCTGTTGGCACAACCACCAGCACGACCGACCACACAACCACCAGCACACCAGCACGACCACCCGCACAACCACCAGCAGAATCACCAACACTACCGCCAACACCGACAACGGCATAACCACCGCCGCAACCACCCGCACAACCACCAGCGCAACCACCAACGCAACCACCGCCGCAACCACCCGCACAACAACCAGCACAACCACCAGCACAACCATCAGCAAAACCACCAGCACAACCACCCGCACAACCATCAACGCAACCACCAGCACTGCAACCCGCACAGCCACCACCAGCACAACCATTAGCACAACTACCCGCACAACCACCAGCACAACCACCATCGCAACTACAAGCACAGCCACCCGCACAACCACCAGCGCAACCACCAGCACAACCACCAGCACAACCAACAGCACAGGACATGGAACACAACAAATGATTTTAAAACCATGATTTTAACGTAGGTCTGCGAGGCTGAGGCCGGGCATGCCGTCCTAGTTTTGGTTGAACTCCCTGGACTATTATATTAGATGTTCATGCCCATGGATAAGCTCTTTCCAGTCTGACTCAGACTGAGGAAGGTTACGGCCCTGATCTGAGGGCTTCCACGCGCGCATTGAACTTTAAAGCTGGAATCGGAAAACGGCTGTACTCTGCTTACCTCATCAACCATCTTGTTGAGGTAATGTGTAGCATGTGGGAGTGTAGAGGCATGCGTGGCCGAAAGCGGATGCATTGCAGGAAACCTTGAGCTTTGGTGGTTTGGCACGTGTGTAATTGCGCGCGCCCTCCGCAGCCTCTTCGGAACGAGAGGCATCGTGGTATCGGAGCTGGCGGAGACCAGCTCCAGCTAGCGCCCTCCAGCGGCGATGGCCTCCCCGCGCGTGCGCAACTGCGCCATCGCGGGCGATCCAAGGCAGACCGCACAGCGGCGTAGGGAGATGGAGCGAAGCCCGCCATCAGGGGCTTGGGCGCAGCCGAGCAGCCAAGTACGCTCGGGAAGTAGCTGGGCGGAGTTAAAGGTGGACCGCAGCAGTGGCGGCGGGCGCCGAGTGGCAGGGGGCAGCCTCAAGCCGCCCACCTTCGACAGATTCGAGGAGCACTGGCAGGCGTGGCCCTTCGTGATGAAAGCCTCCCTCGGAGGGCGGACACAATTATCCCGGCGCCTGCTGAGGGCGGCTGAGCATCTTAGCACCGATCTTGGTATCTCGGCAGAGCACATCCAGAACTCGCTGGACGACGAGGGCGCCGTGGCAAACCATGAGATGTTCTTCAGCTTGGTCGCGGCCGCGAAAGCGCAGCGCCCAAATGATCATGCGAGGAGCCAGTCACCAGAATCGTGCAGCAGCTTGGAGAGCGCCGTGCAGGAGATACGAGCCAGCTACGGCAGCACGGGCCCAGAGTATCGCGGCATCACCCTGAACGTAAAGCAGTTTCCGCATACCTTAGCGGAGTTCGAGGAGGCTCACGCGGAGTGGGAACGCGACATCAGACGGCATGAGAGGGCATCGGGCGAAGTCTTCAACGCGGGCGTGAAGAATAGCACCTGCCTTCAGAAAGCGCTCAAGGACATCAGGGCGATGCCCCAGATGGCAAGCGAGCGGGCCTGCGACGGGCACGAGGCGAACACCATACAGCGCCTGCAGGCGGCGACGATCTACGACGACAGGCACCAGGAGCACCTACCCCCACCACCTAGACTTCCAATGGGGCCCCAATGCCATGGAGGTCGACGCGCATGCTGGGGCTTGCGTCCCGGGCAGAGGCAGGGGCCACGGCGGCAAGGGCGACGGTGGCAAGGGGGGCAAGGGCGACGGAGGCAAAGGCGGAAAGACAGGAGGAAAGACAGGTGGGAAGACGAATCAGACCCAGACGGACACTGGACCCGAGTGCTTCAATTGCGGACGTAGGGGCCACTACGCAAAGGACTGCTGGCGCCCAGCCCAGGCGGACGGTCAGACAGGACCCCGAGGACGTGGTCGCGGCGACCCCAAAGGCAAAGGTAGGGAACGAACCAGCCAAGGCGGTTCGGTCAACGAACTCTCAGCGCAAATGGATGCTCGGTCGCTGGCGGGCTCTCCGCGCGGCAGTGCGGCGGCATCGACCGCAGGGCCCTCAACCAGCCAGGACGGGCACCTGGACTCCAGGGACAGGCGACACCAGGAATGGTCGCATCCATCGTGCAGCAGGCGACGATCACCGAGTCCGCTCTGGAGCCAGGCTGCGTCTTCGCGGTGACGGAGATGCTCATTATCAGTAACGTGGGGATGGAGGGCGAGTGGACCAGCATGCTGATGCTGCTGATGGTGACCGACAACTGCGCGGACGAGTACGCGTGCGCCCAGCACGACTTCCCATGGATGCCCACAACACTCAACAGGAACCCGAATTTGACGGTGCCAGACGGCGCCCCGCTGAAACACTAGTCACTACGGCCAGAAAACGATGGCACTCTAAATCGCAGGCAACCGCAAGATCATCCTGGAGTTCCAGGTGACGGACGTAAAGCGGCCCATCATGAGCGTCGGCAAGTTCTGCATACGGCGAGGGAACCGGGTGCCGTGGCACGACGGACAAAGGGGAACACTGCGACACGAGATTGCGGGACTCGTCAAGGTGAAGACGGTCAACAACCACTACGCAGTCGAGTGCTGGGCTAGGAACGGGCACGCTCCTGGCACCAATAGGATCAGCAGCCGCAGCAGCACGACGAGGAGAGGAGGATGACGGCCATGCGGCAGAGAGAGCGCTGGCAAGCGGACTACTAGCTCCGGCACCGGGGCCCCAACCTGCGGCAGGTGGACCACTAGCTCAGGCAGTGGAGTGGCAGCGAGGCCAGCAGGTGGGCACCTACCTCAGGCAGTTGAGGCACGACCAGCAGCGGATGTATTGGCCGATGCGCCCATGGAAGGGCCAGCGGCGATCCTCGGCGATCACATCCAGTGGGGACCCGAGGGGGTAACGCAGGGCATCGTATGACCACGTGAACCGACTGCGGAGTAGATTGAGAGGCACGAACACAGCACTACTCAGCAGAACCCTGGTGTGAGCTCTGCGTGCAGGCGAAAGGCCAATGATGGTGCACACAAGAGGGTTGACAGCAGGTCGCCCTCATCCCGCTGATCAGTTTCGGTTACTGAACTCCGAGTTTGTGGTCGGGAACGACGCCTCCACGGGTAGCGCGTGGAGTACAGCCATCGTCAAGGACGGTCGCGACGACCCTGGCACGATGACTTGAGCGGCATCGTGGTTGGCTGAACTGGGACACTCACGAGTCGAACTACAGTCAGAGGGAGCAGCAGAGTTCTCGTTCATCACGGCGGTGAGGAAGAAGGCGCTGCAGAACGGGATCCTGCCAGACCATCTCGACTAGGCAGGCGGAGAAGTACCACTCCCAAGCCAACAGACGGGCAGAGAGAGCCATCCAGACTGTGAGGAAGCAGGTGCGGACTCTCATGTTGGCGGCATCGACGAAAAATGCCCTCACGTGGCTTACCCGCCACGCAGCATGACTCTACGACAAGTACGTGGTGAGGGAAGACACCAAACTGACACCCTACGAGAAGACGCACATGCTGAAGTACCAGAAGACGATCGTGGCGGCCCAGAGCCCAGGTCAACAAACTGCAGCCCTCGTGGCTGGAGGGTATCTGGCTGGGCAGAGATGCCAAGACCGACGACCACATCATCAGCATCCCGGCGGGAGTCGAGTCACCAGGTCCAGGGCGACCAGGCGGAAGATGCAGAACAAGCGCTGTGACCGAGTTTTTCGACAAGATGGCCTGGACGCCGTGGGAGGCGACCCTGGTGTCTAGAGGAAAGCCACCGACACAGGGAGCAATCCAGGAACCGATCATCTTGGGGCCTCTCACCAAGACAATAGAGGCTCTGCTGCCAGCCCCACCAGCCGTGCCGGTGGGAGCAGCAGCACCAGCAGGAGGAGGAATAGCCCCACCAGGAGGAGGAACCCCAACAGGAGGAGGAACCCCACCAGGAGGAGGAACCTCACCAGGAGGAGGAACCACAGCAGGAGGAGCTTCAGCAGCAATGCGCACTCCCGCACCCGCGGCAGCGGCACCATGAGGCTCCGCATCATTCGACATGAACGTCGACAGGGCCAGACTGCAAGCTAAGAGCTGCAGGCATAGGTCACCTATGGACGTGGGTTCATCGCTACCCGCTCAGGCGGTGGGAGCGGCAACGGCGAACAGCTCAGTCCCACCAGCTCAGGCGGTTGCAAAGGCGCACCAGCAGCCGGGACAGCGGCTCCCAAACGGGAGCGAGACGGAGACGGCAGAGATGACCAGGCCAGGAGCAAGCCACGAATCGCTACGATCTCCGCGGTCGGCGAGCTGTATGAGTAGCCGACGGTGGAGTACGACGAGGTCTACGCGAAGGGAGACGACGTCGACAAGGAGAGGATGGATCACCTCGATAAGATCGCGAGCGACGGCAAGCAGATCGTGAAGCAGATTCCGATCGTCGAGACGGCCTCCAAGATCCTGACAGGAAAGTGGGTCGATACCTAACAGGCCGACGGTAGCAAGAAGAGTAGGTGGACCACGCGGGGATTCAAGCAGCCTTCCTACGGGCAAATTCGTGGCGACAGCTGCAAATCTGATGCTCCGATACCCATGGGCATGAAAAATTCGTGGCCACCACTCCGTCAATACCACACCTGAAGGCGATGTTGGTCAATGCGGAGGTGAACGGCCACGCGGTGGCGTTCGGCGACTGCAGTGGGGCATTCTGCTAGGCGCCCCTGACGGAGGACAGACTCTTCTTGGAACCAACACCCGAAGCAAGAGAACCAGCAGGTTGCGTGTGGGAAGCGCTGTGCGCGTTCCCAGCACTCAAAGGGGCACCTAAGTCATGGGAGGATCACAGCGCAGTGACGGTGGAGCAGATGGAACTTGATCGAAAGCGCTACGACGGCTGCATCTCATGAGGACCCAAGACAAGTTCAAGGCAGCACGACACGCTGATGACTTCCTCGTGGCAGGACCCCTGAAGTCGGTAGACCAACTACTGGCGGAAACGGGCGAGAAGTTTAGGATCTCTGACGTGGTTACGCTATACAGCACAGGCGACGAAGGCAACTTGCTGAGCATGCAGGTCCGCATGATCTAGGGCGGCTATACCATCAAGGGCAATACGTCGCTGATCGAAAACGTGCTACTGGAGCTCAGGTTGAAGACAGCGACACCCTCAGTAGTCCCAGAGACGAGGAACAAGGTTAAGCAGAATGACGACAAGGAGTTCCTGAACGCAGCAGGCTACGGCGCGTACAGGATGCGTGTGGGGAAATTACTACAACTGTCAAGCCACAGGGCTGACATAC